CAGAAATCATTCTAATATGCTGATTTGCTGTTCAAGAAACCTTTCGTAATATTGGCAATGTTGAAAACAGTTGTATTTTTGTTGTATTCAGTTGTCTATTTATTAAATAGAATGTTCAACAGGGTTGTTATAGTTCCCAAAAACCATAAAACATTCTTTTGTTATTTGAAATAAAATTGAAACAACTGAAATACGATAAAAATATATTTTTAAAAAATTGTTTTAACTTATTTTATTTCAGCTAATTGGCGTAAAATGTCTCATTTTCATTTAGTTTATCTTTACGTACTAAAATAAGTACAACTTAAATAAAAATGAATGTAAACTATATAGACATATTATATAAAACGAATAAAAATGACAAAAACACAACATTACTAAAACTTTAATTAAAATGAAAACATTCAAAATATTGCTTAAAATTATAATAGTGCCTTAATGATAGTAAAATAACCAGTGTTCAAAAGAAAAGCATTTATTTAAATACAATTTATGATATTAGTAATGTCTACACTTTTGATCAATTTAAATAAAATGTGATCAATTTGAATAAAAGTATAAATTTCTTTCAAATAAAAATTCCCTCCAGACTTCTGAACATAAATATAATATAATATAATATAATATAATATAATATAATAATGCTCTAAGCTGCCAATAAAAACTGTCTGATTTCATGATCTATATGCATATATAATATCCTTTCAGAAATACAACACTCGAGTTGGAGATAAAGGCGCTCAGCTGTCTGGAGGACAGAAGCAAAGGATAGCCATCGCTCGAGCTCTGGTCCGCAATCCCAAACTTCTGCTGCTGGACGAGGCCACGTCTGCACTCGACACAGAGAGCGAGAAGGTTTGTACAGGCTCTTACGCATATTTCCAAAACTATTTCAAAGTATTTCATTAGTAAAGTTAATTTTATATATTAAAACTGTTTCATTCTTGGCACTGAATGGACTGCATGCATTTCTGCCTTCAACCAGCAGGTGGCACTTTTTTGATAGTTTGAACTTGTGTGCCTGCCATCCTGCTGGTTTTAGGGAATACCTTTAAAATTATTTTACACAATATATAATTAATAACACAGTATTACTGTTTTTGCTGTATTTTGGATCAAATAAATGCAGATTTACACTCTACATACTCCCTGAGTTTTAATGTCGCATTACATTTCGAAAAGGAAACAAAAAGATCAAACCTAAGACTAAAGTCAAGAGATTTCATTCATAAAGTGTTGCTTTAAATCTCCATTTATCGCTAGTTTAAAGTTTTGGCCACTTCTTTCTTTCCTGTTACACAGATAGTGCAGAAGGCCCTTGATGACGCTCGGCATGGCCGCACATGTATCGTCATTGCCCATCGCCTGTCCACTATTTATAATGCTGACATCATCGTGGTTGTTCAGAACGGCAAGGTGACCGAGCAGGGAACGCATGCTCAACTCATAGCCAAACAAGGGGCCTACTATGCTCTAGTGAATGCACAAGTGTCTGCTCACTAACTTAATCTCCCTTTGATTTATTCCAGTGGTTGTATATCTAAAATGAAGGGCAAAGTTAAATGATTAAATGGTGCCGTTAATCTTAAATTCAATTGAAATCTCCTCTGTCACTAAATATTCAGTTTGTTTTAGGACTAAATGACTTTGAATGTAAAAGCTTACAGTTGATAAGCTAAGAAGCGTTTAAATATCCGGACTCTAGAAACAAACAAGCAAAAAAGTGGGATAATTGTTATTTAGTCATTTTGTTACAATAAAAGATACTATTCTTGTCTAAAAATGAAAATATATTTTATATCTATAGATTTATTTTTCCTCTTTTTTTTTATATAGAAATATTGTATGTCATACAGTCCATTGTAAATATTATAGTCGTGATATTTTATTGTACATAAAATAATGTACAGTAAAAATCCCTTGATACTTTTTCCCACCAGTACGCATCTGCCTTAACAGGTAATTGCAGCACATTTACCAAATGTTTTGAAGATTGTATGCGTTTGTACAATGGCATTAACCCTTTGAATGTGAATATTGGTTTTGTTTATATGAGATCGGCGCATGGGGGCGCAATGTGCTCGTGATTTGAGCCTCCAACATGTTGGACCTTTTTTTCTGCACTGGCTTGAACTTTATTGTCTTTCGAACAGTAACTGGTATTGTTCTTGTATTATTCCTGTTAATATTATGCATTGTTTATTATTTAGAGTTTTTTCGATTTTTATTAAATAAATTATCTATCCTTCTTTGCTGTCGTTCCTGCATGTTTAAATTAAACTTTTTATTTAAAGTATAGCTAACTCGTTTAAAGTCAATTTCAGTTCCCAAACTCTTCCATGGACTAGCATATTTTTACCTTTTGTGCATGCAATTTTGTTTGTAAGGTCAAATGCAGTTGCGGTACATTTTTATTAATTCTTTTTCCTTCGCATGTATCCAATTTTACACAATTATGCGCTGATAATATTCTTCATATGTTCATTTTCGAAAGACACACTCGGAAAAACACTGAAATCCTTGAACGTGAATGGTTTTCGTGGCTACTGAAGACGTAACAGTTTGTGTTACTTGGTTGGTGTGCTCTGAGATTTATAGATATTATTTTAAAGTGACTGCAAATGTATAGCTATCTTTCATAAACTAGCAAAAACCTAAATTTATAGTCACCGTTTTTTAATTCAAGTTACAGTTCTTCTTTTATCT